GACTGAATAACAAAATCTGTACATAAGGATTACTACAGGCTGTATGTTGGCTTAGAAAGCCACATATTAACCTTATCTCTGGTTTATTGTGTAACATTTTAAACTCCCTTCACCAGGGCAGATTGGCACCTTCTCTTCAAGTCTTAGGAGACTGGTGACTCGCCCAGGGTCATACAGTCAGTGTCTATTAGACTCAGGTCTCACCACCTTTCCAGTCTTAATACATCACTCTCCGGCCAAATTGGCTTAGTGAATAGCTTTTCTTCCTCAGGATGACAGGACAGGAGAAGAAGGAACTGGCTCAGCTTGAAGCAAGCATTTCAGCAAGACGTTAGTAGGGATGTATCAGTGGGGAGGGACCAGGCCCTATCACTGGTTTCTTTCTCTGGGCGTCCTCTGATACTGAGAGGGCACTCTCTCCAGTGGTAAAGGTCATAGCTCCATTTCTCTGGACACTTGTAAGGAAAAGTTACCTTGGGTAAAGTCAGGCCCAAAGGTTGGAAGAAGAGAATATGGTATTGCAGAGAGAATTCGGGAGGTAGCGAACTCAGTCACTGACCTTGCACACCTATCTGTGTGACCTTCAGCTCACCTCTGGGCTTCCGTTTCCTTAATTATAAAAATGAAAGGGAGCAAGATTCCTCCCCAAGGTTCCTCCCAGCTCTGCCTCAAAGAAGTACCACCTGATCAAGTACCACCTTCATGGAGGGTGAATCTTGACCCCATCCCCCAGGCGCTAGTGCACCTCTCTGACCCCAGAATTACTTGTATATCTTCTGCATTTGTCTGTGTTCATATCGTTTCTGTGTGTTCTTTGAGGAAGGGGATTGAGCATTTGTTTTTGTACTTGCAGTCCAGGTGCCTCAATTGTTCCATAACACACAGTAGGTGCTTAATAAATGCTTATTGAATGAATGAATGAAATCCCTTTGAAGCTCCTGCAGTTGGAGGTAAGACAAACAGAGGCCAAAGAAACATTTGCCTGATTTTTCCACTTTTGCAGGGTATTTGGATTAGGGGCTTGGCAGTTTAAAGGGAGCAACGTGGAGCTTGGCTCCTCTCTCCCCGGGGTCAGCATGCGATGCAGTTGAGCAAACATTCCGATTCCTACCGTGGGCACGGCCCTGGCATCACAGGAACCCACCAAGCATGCTTCATCAAAGTCGTCCTACAAGGGGAGTCTGGCATTTTCTGTCTCTTCTCCAAGCAGCTTTGCCTTCTCCCATCTTTTTCCTCCCTGGCCCATTTCTCAAGGTGAGACTCGAAATGTGACTTGAGCTCTTGCACATGTGGGTCATGCAAATGGATAGGAAAGAGTCTGTTGATTCACAGCCCTCCGGCTTGTTTGCTCAGCTCCTTCTAGAGTTTAAATTGTTTTTCTTCTCTAAAGATTCAGTATCTACTGTATCCTTCATCACCACTTTCCCTCCTCCTAACAACTTGCAAATTCACACCCGTGTAGACATTTTTTATTTACAAGGAAATGTTGCCAGGATTTTGACTTGTTAGTAGAATAGGGATGTCAAGGGTGGGGGGAGGGGAGGGGAGACAAGAATAGTATAAATGATGACACTTTCTGAAACTGGGATCAGATTTGATGGCTGCAATGAGCTCACCTAATTAGAACATAGTTAATTTTCCTTCCTGTGTTTTTAAGGGGAGGTGGTCATTGCCTGAGTGAGATAGTTTCAGGTTTGATATTAGAAGTGTGTGTGAGTGTGTGTGTGTGTGTGTGTGTGTGTGTTATGAAGATGGGAACATTCATTGCAATTCTCAATATTGGAAAACAGTCCTTGCTTGGGAGAGAGAGGAAGGTGGGTGAGTGGGTGGAGGTAAGAGCCAGCCAGCTCTGGGAGGAGGAATGGAAGAATCATTCTGGTGCAGTTCTGGGCTAGCCAAGGACTTTTCCAGGATCTGATGGACTCAGAAGGCAGATGGACGTTTGCCCTAGGGCTCAAGAAGGAATCTCTAACTAAGGCTGCACTTTTAAGAACTGTCTGAGACCCTAGGCACTACTTCACAATGTTGGCATTTTAGTGATTAATCTATTTTAGAAAGTTATCCAGCCCTGTAGGAGGCTCCTGGTGGTCTCTAAGGAACAGGGAGAAACTTCTTCTTTATGGCTTTCCTCCTGTTTACTTCCAGGAGTCTGGCCCTGTCCTTCAGCTTGTATTCTTCCCTTAGCTCACTATGGAAGTCAATCGATCAATTAATAAACGTGAATTAATTACCTATTATGTGCCAGGCACTCCATCCCCTACCTCTGTATCTCTGTGTCTCTGCGACTGACTCTCCCTCATCTATGGAATGCTTTCCCTCATTCTCTCTGAGAATTCTTAATTTCCTTTGAGGTTCCAACCAAGTACCCCATTCTACATGGTCTTTCCTGATTCATCTCCCATCTCCAAGTCTTTGCATTGGCTTTTTCCCTGCATGGAATACTCTGCCCCCTTATCTCTTGTATTCTCATACTGCCTTTCAGATTCCCAGGAAGCTTTTCTTGCCCCAGCTGCCAGGTCTTTCCCCCTTGAAATTCCCTTCCATCTATTCTATGCCTATCTGATATGTATCCTGCATCCCAGGGACTATTTTTGCCTTTCCTTGTATTCCTAGCACATACATAATAAATGCTTGTTGACTAAAGATACCAAGACAAACATGAAACAGTCCCTACCCTCAAGGAGCTTACATTCCATTTGGCCTCAGATGTTGGCAGGCCAGATGCTACTATTTTGATGTCTCTCTCTCCACCAAATTACTTGTCTCCTTCAACACCTTCTAAAGCTGTGATCTCATTCGCTTAATGGGGTTGGATATATGCTGCTTTCTGGACCCGGGGCTGGAAAAGACAAGGGTGTGGGGAATCTTTGAAGGTCCGAGTGCCTGAAGTTAGGGTAGGATCATCAGGTTGTAGACCTAGACCTCTGAGGCCAACTAGCCCAACCCCATTATTTTACAGAGGAGGAAACTGAGGCTTTGCCCAAGGTCTCCCAGGGAAGCATCAGGAGTAGGATTTGAACCCAGGTCCTCTGAGGATAGTGGAGTTTGTTAATGAATAAAAACAGAAACCACAGGAGGAACTTCCTTATAAAACACCTACTGCAGTTAAGTGGCATCCCTGTCTTCCTTCCACCTTCTCCCACTTCTTGCCCTGTCCCCCGAACTTTACTCCTCACCCCAACTTCTCCTTTCCTCCATTCTTCCTACTTGTTTCTCCCTTTCCCCAGTTCTCCCCCTGAAAATAAAATTAATCAAGTCCTTTGCAACTGAAAAGTTATCTCCCCTACGTGGCTGCTACCCCTCCCCCCACTCCCTCCTCACTTACAGGAAGGATTTCCCCCCACCCCCACCCCCACCCCGGAGTCTTACGGAATCCTCACGAACAACTCATTCGGCAAAGTGGGGGGAGAGTGGATACAGTGTGACGACTGAGACTTTGGGTTTTATGGGAGACACGGGTTGGTAGAGTGAGTGGATGGATGGCTGACAATTGCTAGCTTTGTGTTCTTGGGTGAGTGAATTAACCTCTCTGAGCCTCAGTTTCCTCATTTGTAAAATGTGTATAATGATAGCACCAGCCTCACCGGGGTTGCTGTGAGGTTCTGATTAGGTAATGTATGTAAAGGGATTTGTAAACCTTAAAGTACAACATAACTATCAGCTTTAATAATATATAATAATAATAAATGTGATATAATAATCTGGAAGAAGGATTTCATCGATTGAGAGAAATGGTGAGGAGGAAACTCTCCGTCAATGCTTGCGGGCAACTGCTGTGCAATTCTTTGTCTCATAGAGGTTCTTAACCTGGAGTCCATTAATTAAAAAAAAAAAACAAACAAACTTAATCTAATAGATTTCTTTTGTAATCCTATGTATCTTATTTTAAGCACTTAAAAACATGGTTGTGAGGAAGGATCCCTAGACTTCCTCAGAGGGCCCCAGAGGGCCAGGACACACAAAGTTAAGAACCCCAATGTTAGAGGACTCCCCGGGTCTCTGAAAGGTTGGCCCAGGGAATGAGGCTAGTTTGAGTTAAAGTCTGAACGAGGACCCAGGACTTCTAGACTGTAAGGCTGGCTCTACCCACCACGGCCAAGTTGCATATTATCCACGATCACCATTCATATCATCGTTACGGTTATTGTTGTTATCATTATTAAAGGGAAGAGAGGGCCTTCCACCTTGCCTCCAAACCTTAGGGGCTGGGGAATCGTGCGTTCTTGCCAAGGCCCTCCCCAGCCGTGCTCTGGCCTGGATCTGCGATAGCCTTCTCCCTCCTTCTATTACGGAGCTTCCCAAGCTACTGGGCACCCGAACCTGCGCTAACCAGCGCTCTTCCTGACCCCCCTTGGGTATGGCCAACTTGGCCCTGAAGCTCAGAGGATGGGGGTGGGGGGAGAAGGAGAGAGCTGACCGGCCACGCCCCCGCCCCGCCTCCGCCCCGGAGGAGGGGGAGGAGACTGAGACCGGGACTCAGAGCAGGGGCCGCTGGCAGCGCAGCAGGGCCAGAGCGCTTAGGAAGCCGCCGTGGATAGGGGTCGGGGCGGGGCGGCCCAGGGGCGCCCTGGCGGCGGAACCGAGCCGAGCCGGGCCGGCCAGCCCAGGACGGGACGAGGGCTGGGGGAGGGAGGAAGCCAGGAAGGAGAGTGCAGGCAGGACAGGGGGCTTGAGCTAGAGCGAAGCCTAGAGAAGTTTGCCTCGCGCCCGCGGCGGCTCCCCGGGGCCATGGGGGCTGGAGCCCGCGGCGGCGGCGACAGAGGAGGAGGCAGCGGCGAAGGAGGCAGCAGCGGCGGCGGCGGCGGCGGCAGCGGAGGCGGCCGGACGCGCTCGGTCTCTCGTTCCCTCGGCCGCGGCGGCGGCGGCTGTGGCGGCGGCTCGGCTGCTTTGGCTGCGCCGGCTGCGCCCTGCGCGCACGGAGCCCCCCGGAGCGGCGCCGGGGCCACCGCGGAAAGTTAACTAGCCCGGCGCGCCGGGGCCCGCGCGGGACGCTCTCGGCCATGGGTGAGCACCCCAGCCCGGCCCCCGCGGTGGCCGCCTGTGCCGAGGCGGAGCGCATCGAGGAGCTGGAGCCCGAGCCCGAGCCCGAGCCCGAGCCCGAGGAGCCGCTGCCCATGGCCCCCGAGGACGTAAGTGCAACTTTCGGCAGCGGGGGGCTAGCCTGGGCTCGCCTTCTCTGCGCTGCCTTTGGGAGCAGCAGAAGAGGGAGGACTACCCTCCCCCCTTCTCTCCCTTTTCCTCCCTCCTTTTCTCCCCTTTCCTCCCTCCTTTTCTCCCCTTTCTTCTCCTCCTGCCCTCCCCTTTCCATACCTTTCCCCATAACCAGGAGGTTGCAACTTGGTGGCTTCAAGGTGAAGCAGGACCCCCCTAGGTGAAGCAGGATCCATGTGCCCGCCCCAAGGGCAGAAGTATTGGAACGGGGGCCTGTAACCCGGAGGGAGCAAAAGGGAAGGGTCGGTGCTCAGATCCTAGCACCTAGGAGCTGGCCACGCTTAGTGCTGAAGCTGCCGGATCCTCGGGTCCACCGTCTTACCCCTCGCAGAGTGGACACTATTTCCTCAAGTTCCAACCTGCCTTCCTTTCCCCAGGGATCCCAAGGGTTCTCCATTCCCGTTCCTGTGCCCCCCGCCCCACCTGGGTCCCTTCTACTAGGCATCTGGGATGGAACCCAGGAGTCAGGGATCCCCTTCTTCAGCAGAGCCCCCTCCCCGCGGATGGTGCAGTGCCCGGGACACACAGTTTTCCCGCAGAGGCAGAGACGTCACCAGGAGTGACTCCCCCTCCCCTCCTCACCCCGCAACTCATGACCTACGAGACACTTTGAATCCCCAGAAGCACCATGCCGCTGCAGACTCCTCCTACACGGTCCCTTTGCAAGAGATACCCTCTTGGTGACTCCCTTCTCCTCTCCCATGCACAGTCCCCATGGATACAGTTGGGAGGGGGGGGTGATGAGCTACTGTCCACCTTTGTCGCTCAAGCAAAATGAGACATTAGGGTTCGAACTTAGCCCTACCACTTGAATCCTGGGAGCACTTGGGGGGGGGGGTTGATAAAATTGCTCTTAGTATATGATTCCAGAGCTAATGATCATATGGATTCTGGAGAATAAGGACTGTGATTTCTGGTGTGGGGGAGGGGCTGCCTCAGAGGTGCCCCGTTTCAGAGGGCTTCCCCAAGCTAGCTGCTGAACGGGGTTGCATTTCCTCTCTGCCAAAGGTGGAGTTTGACTATTTGGTCTCTTTCCAAGAAGAGCCCCCATCCTATCTCGGTTCTTGGCATGAAATCGAATCTTTGCTGAAATGGGAAGAGAGCTACCAGCATGGCCAGAACTAGGGAGGTCTGGTGCGGCTGAAGAGAGTTTCTTAATGACTTTTTCAGAGAGCTGCAGAGGATTCCCCAGGAATACAGATGAGAAACCTGCCTAACTACCCCTATCCTCTGCCCAGGGGCCCCATGTGCTATGTCTGCCTGGATGCCAAGTGTATGTAGGCAAGAGACCTGTTGACCTTTGTGCTGACCCCACAGACCCATCTGGATGTATCATAAATCTGGGGCAGCTCAGATTATCCTTGGGTTGTCTCTTTTGCTTCTGTGGTTAAGCAGAATCCCTCCTCCCAGCCCCTCACTCCCACTCACCCTAATGCCCCAGGCTCTGTGTGTCTACCTAATTTTCAAATGCTTACTTAGAACGTTTGTTAAGTACTCACTGGTTGATCTAAAACCTAGGTTTGCTGCAAGTTCAGGATCCCTGCCATCAGAGGGGTTGTATTCTCTGAAGGCTGGGTGCATGGGGAAGAGGGATGTGAGCCATGCTAGTGACCAGTCTTGGCAAACGTTGTGTCTAACAGAGTTAGGGTCATTGTACCCCCAGTTAATGTGACTCATACGGGGTTTATCTCTCCCCACCCCCTTTATCAGAAGATTGAGGTATTCCCTCTCCCCACGCCACAAAGAGTGGTCCCCCTTTGCCCTAAGAAAAAATGGAGTTCCTGCCCTTTCTCCTTCCTGTGTTTGGTGCAGACAGTAACTGGGGGTGGGGTGGGGGGGAGGAATGGGGTGGGGAGGAATAGGGCTGCCCAGCTCACTGGCTCTCCTCTAGTATCTCATTGCCAATTCTGCAGCCTGGAGACCAATCTAATGCAGAAGCTGGGAGGCCAGATCAGCTGCATTTCTAATGTTACAGATGCCCTAATGCTGAGCATTTTTTTCTTTCTTTTCTCCTTTTCCTCCTCTTCATCCTCCTCTTCCTCTCCTCTCCTGCACGGCTTCCCTCTCTGTCAGCACTGGAAAGTCCTGTTTGATCAGGTATGTGAGCAGTTAATTCAGCCCCCCTGCTTTCCCTAGCTCCCCCCTCCCCAGGACTATCAGTCTTCCTGCTGCGTGGGTTTCCCAAGCTTGGCTGCTCACGAAGATGATGACGTCGGGCTGTGGGTGTGGCTTGATGTGTTTCTGATCTCCAGGCATCAAAAGTATCCCTGCTCTCCTCCTTGGATGGGTCTTTCCCCTAGGGACTGTGCCCTTTCCTCCAAGCCATTCCTTACTCCTACCCCAAAATCCACTGAAACCTTACACGCAGATCCGATTTAACCCAAGGGAAAATTATGACTTATGATTGATCGGCCTGGGGAATTCTTTGCACTCCACTGGGTTGGAGTTGTGGGGAGTGCTGGGACAACATGGGTGGGTTAGCCACCATCCTAGGATTATCACTGATCTCCCAGGGTGACTCAGAGCATTCCATTTAAGGGCTGAGTCACTTACTTCACTCAAGGTTGGGGGGAGATTGGAGGAGGGGGGGAACAGTAGCCAAGGCTGGGAAATGGGATTATCTGCAGTATTTAGGATTGCAGTGGGGGGGTCAGCGTTTTTGGAAATCTTGGGTTAGAGCTTTTAAACCCTGAAATAGAAGCTCTGACCTTCAGGAAGGAAACCACTCTGTCCTTGGGCAGCATATTTTAAAATCCCTCCCTTTGAGAAGACCACATAATGGATAGGTGCAGAGGAGGCAGCAGGCCAGTCCAGGTTGGGCATTAAAAAAAAAAAATAGAGAAGAGGCATAAGCAGTGGGCCATGGAATTGACCACTCAGATTACAGCAGAGGGTCCATGTGGGGGATCCAGAGAGTAGATACAAGGTAATTTGAGGGGATCACTGGTAGAAAAAGGGAGATAGGGCCAGCTTGTGAAAGACCTAGAATGCCAGGTGAAAGCCATGGGCGAGTTCATTCCCTTCGTGGCACCTCGGTTTCCTCAATTGTCAAATCAAGTGTTTGGACAAGATGATATCTGAGGTTCCTTCTAGTTCTAAATGCTTTGATCTTATAACATAATCTTGTAGGTAATTGCTAGTTTTTGAGTGGAAGTTGGAGAAGGGGATGTTTCACCTGCTAACTACCAAGTTTTAGCATGTTTGATCTGGCAATGGTATGTAGAATGAACTGGAGGTGGAAAGAGAATGGAGGCAGGAGATGAAGAACAAGAATACAGAACAAGTATGAGGTAGTAGGAGTTTGGACCTGGACAAAACCAGTAAAAATGGACAGGAATGGACCTATGAAGTGGAGATCAAGAAGGAAGAATTAACAGGACTGTGTGTGTGTGTGTGTATGTGTGTGTGTGTGTGGTGGAGTTAGGATGATGGGATCATATATTTGGAGCTGGAAGAAAGGGCCTTAGAGGCCATAAAGTCCAACCCCTTTATTTTATAGATGAGGAAACTGAGGCACAGAGAGGTTAAGGGACTTGCCCAGGGTCATGTGGCTACTGTCTGAGACAGAATTCAAACTTAGGTCTCTAAGTCCAATACTCCCTCCATTACTCATATTGCCCTCCTCACTTCCAACTCTACAGTCTTTAGCCTCCCTCAGAACTCAGCTCCAAAAGGTACCTACTACATAACATCTTTCCAACTTATCTTCTCTCTCAGCTGCTAAGGATTCCCTCAAATTACCCTGCCTCTACTTTGTATCCATTTTGCTATGTACTTCTCTGTCTATGTGGTCTTTTCCCTAACAGAATGTAAGCTCCTTGAGGGCAAGAATTGTTTTGCTTTTTCTTTGTATCTCCAGGACCTAGAAAAGGGCCTGGTGAAAAGCAGGTGCTTAATAAATGCTTCTTTGGTTGAGGAGCCTCCTTGGTTTTAAGCCAGGAGAGCAGGCGGGGGGGGGGGGGGGAAGGAACTTTTTTTTTTTAAGTGAGGCAGTCAGGGTTAAGTGACTTGCCCAGGGTCACACAGCTAGTACGGGTCAAGTGTTTGATCTGAGGCCGCATATGGACTCAGGTCCTCCTGACTTCAGAGCTCTATCCACTGCGCCACCTAGCTGCCCCTGGGAGGAACCTTTTTGGAGGAGGAAGAGAAAGAGTTCAGTTTCAGATGTGTGCCGTATCCCAGTGGAGATTTCCAACAGTTATGGGTCTGAAGAATTAGAGCTGTAGAATTTGGGAGTCCTTGTCCTTCCCCCGAGGGTCCCCTAGGGACAGGTACAGTAGGGTGGGCCATGGCTTCTCAAGGATGTGAGTGTGGCTTGCATAGCCTTTCACACCTGCTTGATTTAGAATTTGAGTGAAGTCTATTCTCTCTCCTCCTATCTCTTCCTCTTCCTCTCTCTCTCTCTCTCTCTCTCTCTCTCTGTCTCTCTCTGCCTCTCTGTGTCTCTGTCTCTCTCCTATCTCTTCCTTTCTCTCTCTGTCTCTGTCTCTCTCTCATTCTCTCTCTCCCTTCCTCCCTCCCTCTCTCCCTCCTCTCTCTCACCTCCCCTATCTATCCCTCTCTCCTACCTCTTTCCCTCTCTCCCCTCATCCCCCTCTTTCTCCCCCTATCTCTTCCTCTCTCACTACCCCCATGTCTCTTCCCACTCCCCCCTTTCTCCCTCTCTTCTCCCCCTTCTTTTCCCTCTTTTGTTTGTCTCATTAGTTCTGTTGGATTGTATGTAGTTACATCTTCGGACAGACTATTTCTATTGATTTTGAAAAACTATTAAGAGAGGCCTGGGGAATACCTAGAGGACAAATGTGGTCGTGCCTAGCAGGGATACTAGATGATCCTCCCTGGAGCTAGAAGGGAACGCTGGAGGTCAACTTTTGATACCACTCCAGCCCTCCCTCCCCTGAAACTAGACTATCCTAGACAAACAGAAAACAAGTCTCTTCTTAAAGACCTCTAGAAGATGAACTGCTGTAACCTCTCTCAGTTAATTCATGCTCAGAATGTTCTGCCCTATGTCTGATCTCCATCCCACTCTGTTTTGTAAATTCCTGATGATTCATTTCATAGGATTCTAAGATCAGAGATCTAGACCTCCAATTCCCTCATTTTACAAATGAGTAAACTGAGGAACTAAAAGGCTAAGTGAAGTCACACAGGGTGTAAGTGTGAGAGGTGGAATTTGAACTCTTCTAACTCCAAATGCAGTGTTATTTCTCCTACACCACATTGCCATGACCATTTCCTTCTGTTTTGTCCTGTCAGTGTTCTCCATGTTGATAGGGTTGTGCTTTCCCCTCAGTTGATGGGGTTGGGGATGGTGGGGTGGTGGGACTTGGCATTCATCCTGTCTGTGCTTGAGAATTCCCCTCCTTTTCAGGCAGTGAGATAACTGGACCATTCTCTGACTTGGAGCCAAGAGCCCTGGATTCAAATCTTACCTCTGACACTTACTGGCTGTGGCCAGTTACCTGGGCAAGTCACCTAACTTTTCTGAGCGTGTCATTTTTCTGATCTGTAAAATGAGGGTATTGGACTACATGGCTTCTAAGATTCCTTCCAGCTTTAAATCTGTGATCCTCTGATCTCGCCATAGGACCGATGGAAGGACGAGGACTTTTATAAAGAGCTGTTCAACTAGGGAGAATACCAGTTTGTACTGGAAATGTATTTGATAGGATTTCACTCAATCCCTTTTTTCTTCCTTTGGCCTTGGTTCACGATTAGGTAAATGGATTGGTTGGTCTGAAGTGTGGAAAGTTTGGCAGAGGGGCTAAGTGAATCTCATCCCCATATTTTGGTGCGGTGCACTGGGTCCAGAGTCAGGAAGACTTGAGTACGAATGCAGCACCAGACACTTTCTAGCTATGTGACCCTGGGCAAGTCACTTAACCTCTGTTTGCCTCAATTTCCTTAACCGTAAAATGAAGATAATAATAGCACCTTTCTCCCAGGGTTGTTGTGAGAAGCAAATGAGATATTTGAAAAACAGTTAGCACAGCGTTTAGCAAAAGTAGATGCTTAGGGGCAGCTAGGTGGCGCAGTGGATGGAGCACCAGCTCTGGATTCAGGAGGACCTGAGTTCAAATCCAATCTGAGAACACAATAGCGCTTACTAGTTGTGTGACCCTGGGCAAGTCACTTAACCCCATTTTCTAGCCCCCCCCCAAAAAAAGTAGATGCTTAATAAATGCTTAACTTCCTTCCAATTATAGTGTATATAAAGTGCTTTTCAAATTTCATAGTGATATATATATATATTATATATATATAATGTGTATATACACATAAATATACACCCATATGTTTGCTACTATTTTTGAAGACAGCTAAGTGGAATAGAGTATTACATGCCTGACTTAAAGTCAGAAGATGAGAATTTAAATCCCAAATTAGGCACTTACTCCCTGAGTGACCTTAAGTAAGTCACTTAATGCAACTTAGGTTCAGTTTCCTCATCTGTAAAATGGATGTAATAATACTACCTACTTCATAGAGTTGATGTGAGGACCAATACAGATGTAAAGGTCTTTGGGAACCTTAAAATGCCCTAGATGCTCCTATTCCTTACAACTATTATAATCATTACTTTACACAGAAAAGGGGAGATGAGTCTGCCACTAATTGGCCAGTGAAACAGCATTTGAATTCTAGTTCTCAGATCCCTTCACATATAGCACAAATATACCTGGGTGTATCTCCAAAGAGGTCAGGAGAAAGAAGCTGGTTTAATAGGAAATTCCTAAGTGACCTCGGGCAAAATCACTTCAACTTTCCAAGCCTTTGTAACTTGTTTGTAAACAGAGAGGGTTGGACTAGATGATCTCTGAGCTCCCTTCTAGATTTAGAGGATTCTCTGATCCTAATGACTCCTTTGGTCTCAGTTTCCTCATCTGTAAAATAGGGGTGTTGGGCTAGTTCTGAGGTACCTTCCTGTTCTAAATCTGATCTTCCAGACTCTATTCACATTCTGGGCCTCAGTTTCCTCATTTGTAAAATGAGGTGGTTGGGCTCTTGAACTTTTAAAGTCCCCCACGTCCAAATCATTGATCTTACGAACTCAATCCTTCACATAGAGACGATGGCGGGGCCATTGACCTGCT